GCACGAGCGAGGTAGACTTGCGGCCAAAGAACGGGGTCGCGGCGAAGGATGGCTCAGGCCAACAGCGACTTAGAAGCCCAGCAGGCTCTGAAAAGCTGTGCTGTGTGCAGCCTTCAGGATCCCCGGGAAGCCGAGGACGGTTCGAGTTGCGTGGGCCTGGCCCTACAGAATCTGCTTGGCTAAGACAAGATTGCTAGGGTCTAATCCAGCCGCACATAACCCAAAGCAAGTCGCACCAGCCCCACCCACTGCAACCCTTAAGCGTTGGGACCTCTTCGGTGTAGAGCTAAGGGCCGCAGTTCGCAGGTGCAATGCTTAGTTCCCTCGGCTCTGTTAGCAACGTGGGCCGCTTCTGTACTCGCAACCGGCTCCCAGCAGATGAAACAGCAGCGCAGCCTCGGGCTTAGAGGTTTTTGAGAGAACAACGGCTCCTCTTGCAAGTCCCAGATCTTTAGCTTCGAGCTCCGCTCCGTCGCAGACATGTCAAGTTGCATGGGTGCTGCAAAACTGCGCATGTCCCCTCTGTAGGTGTGGGGACACGTCCGCACCTGCAATGCGGCACTTTCTGTGTCCGGCCCTTCGCAGCAAGGAACTCCGGAGCGCCGGCACACATAGCCTGCTGCGAGAAGGCTGGAAGGTCGCAACTCAAGGTGGGGTCCGACCCGTAAGATGCCCTGGATGCTGAGTTCAGTTCATTTAGGGTTTAGGGTTTAGGGTTTAGGGTTTAGGGTTTAGGGCCTAAAGTTTAGGGTTTAGGCTGCCTGGTCTATTCGCGCCACACGCGCGGACATGCAGCATCGCCTGCCAGAAACCCTCGAAAGTACGCTTGAATGTCCATCTGGAACTTCCCACGCCCCAAGAAAATATAACAGACCCCTCCAGGCTGCTTGCTACGCCGAAGACGAAGATGCCCTTAGGCAAGAGTGGGAACCTCACTGCCAAGCTCAGGATCGATGGAGAGGGAGGCGAAGGAGCGAAAGATCCGAAACCATCTCGGGCTCAGGGCAAAGGCAATCAATGAGCCTTAAGGAGAAGCAGTCATCCGGTAGAACGGCTCAGGTCGCACGTTTGGGACCATTGCTGACAACCCCGATACCCCCAGAACCCCTCTGCCCTGCAACCGGCCTAGACAGGAGTCACCCTGCCTTCAACGAGCGTTATCGACCTAAAGCGTAGGGCGGACTCCGAGGAGCCGGGGCAACTGCGGAAACTGCGAGCAGCGCGATGTCCTCACGAGACAGCCTGCTGGCCCGACCGCTGCGACCGCTGCTATCAGGGGCTGCGAGTTTTCTGCCCCGAAAATGCCGAAGATAGAAACAAAGGGCCTCTGCTATTCGAACGGAGCATGGGCACGGCTGCAGCATGCCCCGGGATGAGGCGAGAGGCACGCAACCCTGGGCCCCAGAAGTGACGTAGTTGCTGCGGAAGGACTTGGCTTCTAACGCCACGAAGAAGAGCAGAATGGGACCGGCAGAAGCGCAAGAAGTACCGGATGTGGCAGCGAAGGTTACAGGACCTTCGTAGCTGGATCAGTCGAGCCTGTACAGCCTGCACAGTGTAGTATACGATGCTGCGATGTGCGACGGCATCGCATGCGCACCTCGACGTTCCCGGACTTGGCCACAAACCTGGGCATCAGAGCGAGCGAGCATGCCAGTGGGCCATCCTCGCAGAACAGCGCCGATTCCAAAAGAGGGCTGAACTCCCGAGTGGAGCGGCGCTGAGTGCTGGCCGTGCGCTCGTCCTCACACTTTTCAGGACTGGGATGCAAGCACAAGGACCAGCACGTCCTCGCGAAGCTTGGGTAGCACCACCTGGTACCACCTGTTTAGGTCGGAGACACCTGGAAAAAGACCAGTTCATGTTCTCAGGTCCTCGACATAGCTTATGTCAGGATCGCTTGGCATTAATTATTGGGCAGGAAAACTGGTCACAGGGATCTAGGCACCGTTGCCTGGCCAGTTAAGAACCGGGGGTGATGCTTGGATGACATTCGCTTTCAGCCATGCGTGATGCAGCGCGCAGTTGCCTTCTTGAAAAAACTGTTGAGCTTGCAAACATGCAGGGCCCATGATTGTGCGCACAAGTTTGATAAAGATCAACCATGAGCCCTAGCAGTGTGCTCGGTTGCAATGGCTTCGCGTCGCGCCAGTGTTCACACACCTAGCAGCGAAGCTCACACATGCGCGGCTCAGAATTTGAAGGCACGATGCTGCATATGCCAGCACGCCGAGACCCACCGCGTCGGCAACGCTCCAGGAAAGCGAGGCCTCACGATGCCGTCGGGCCATCCTCGTGGAACTGTGCTGGCACGGTCAAATTGTCAAATCCCTCCTAGCAACTCGCGGTGTGACCTTATCGCTACATGGGGCCCCAACCAAGCAAACGGATGGGCGGAAGAAAGCCCCTCGCACTCTTAGGGCCTCAACCTTCGGACAGCTTGGAGATGTGACTTTCCGGCTGCTCGGCTGAAGCGACGGCTGCCCGACACAGAGAGTCCGCGACATGGCGAACCGCCAGAGCCCGGGCCCCAAACCGGGCCCAAAAGCGGAGCTCCAACCTGAGCACGTCACACGACTCTGAAACCGTGGCCAGAGAAGCTGTGTGCACAGCTTGGTTGAATTCTGCGGCTAGGCACCGAATATTCGCCTCGGCTTCCTGCCGAGAAGCGTTTGGAGCAAGCAGACCCGGATCGGGCCTCCTTCCCCCTTCCCCCTAACCCAGCCCTTCCCCCCACATGCAAAATTTCGTGGCGCCCCTCCCCCCTCATGGAACACCCTTGACCCCATTAAACTCCCTGGACCCTTCCTCCCCTTTCCTCCTTTCCTATCCTGGGGCCGGCCCGGCTGCCGAAGCGGCGCGCGCAAGCGTTTACAATGTTATCTGCCTGTGTGTGAGTGCATACCTATCACGTAGCTGCACAACCGGGCGGATTTCACAGATATATTCTTTAAGAAGGTCCTCGATATAATGTTTGCTTTTGGCTGTCTTGCGACGGTTCGTCACCCATGACTCCCTTGCCCCGGGTGCCTCTGGTACAGCAGGGCTCGCAGTAAGGGGAAGCTGTTCGCCTCCAGCTGCATCTGCTGCATCTGCTGCATCACCCACATGAACCCGGGATCCTGCAGAGCAGATCCGCGTCAGGCTCATCATAAAAGCACCGAAGTCTTGCAACTTCAAACGGTTCCTACAGCTATCGGCCGGCATCAAAGCTTGGTCGACATGCAACACTACGAAAAAGGGCCCCCATGGTTACTCAGCCACCTGCTACGCTACTACGAAAGCGAAACACAGTTGGAAAGACATGTGGCACGAAAGGATCCACTTCGCAACCCTCTCAGTGTCGCAAAGTAGAAGAATCAAGAGGCCATGTTGCAGATGCCTTTACTCACTTTGCACACCACTACAAACAAATTCTGGGCTTCCAACGACTTATTGGGAACGGCTGACCACTTGTTCTGCCGACCTGCTGCGTCTTCGTCATCTCCATCTTGTCAACAAACAACATCTAGGGCCACATTTTCAAGCCTTCGACATCAGAAATGAGGCTGTATTTCTGTGGTCTCAAGCACCGAAGTTGTGGGCAATGATTGCCGGGTCATGTTTTATGTTCTTTATCCGTTTATGTTCTCAGATAGTAACTTGAATAGAAATGGAATCGTTGTCTCCGCTGTCGCGATGCAAACAACTTCAAGACAAGAACTGATGAGCCGAAATCGGTGAAGGCATAAGGAACTACGCTGCAGCATCGGTGATATTGTACTTAACAAACTACAGCACTGTGCCGTGAACGATCGATGCCGACGGTTGTAAAAGTGCATTTTTGTCGTACGTGGTTGTACGAGACTTTCACACGTTGTGGATTCAAAGGGCTTCACGCAAGAATACACTCGAACAAAACTGTATGCATTTTTGTGTAAGGCCTCCGAGGCCTTTTTGGTGTCGGTTCTCCCGGTGCCCTTTGGGGTCTCTCGTGCCTTTTGGGGCTTCCCAGTGCCTTTTGGGGCCTTGGGACTTTCTTTCCCTACTTAGGATCTGCTTTGGCGCCTGACAGCCATGCTTTTGCCTGATCTTTTCACTGTGAAGGATGAAGGGTTTTCTAGTTATCCTGGCCTTGAGGGTTTAGGGTTTAGGGTTTAGGGTTTAGGGTTTAGGGTTTAGGGTTTAGGGTTTAGGGCTTAGGGTTTAGGGTTTAGGGTTTCGGGTTTAGGGTTCAGGGTTTAGGGTTTCGGGTTTAGGGTTTAGGGTTTAGGGTTTAGGGTTTAGGGTTTAGGAGGATCTCCTTTTTGCTTCCTGCTGGCAGCTCCGTCACCAGGCGAGCATGTCTCGTGCCCTGCACTCCCCACTTCCCAAAAAGCTTCGGGACATCCTTCGGGATCCTTCGTTCGTGGAGGCATGAAAGAAGCTGAGTTGTCTCGAAGCCCCTCATTACTAGCCCCTTTTTTGCGCACCCCAGAAACCAGCTTCCAAACACAAACCTTGCAACAGAAAGCCCACAACACCGTAGAGAATCGTGCTGCCCCATCGGATCCTATATCTACTGTAAGCTAGTCTGTTCGGATGGGCTCTGGGGATGTTCATCTGTTTCAATGTTCATCAACTGCAAAAGCTGCCCCCCCACAGCCTTTTAAAGCCCTGTTCGGTCTCGCGAGCCCGGAGGATTTCCGATGGTTTTGCAGGGCTCTCTAAGGGGTTCTTTGGGAACTGGGGGGTCCGAAGTGCAACGGACTGGCCATCGTCCCCGATAGGGAGCCGTGCAGATAGAGTTGAGACTTGAAACACTTCCAGAATCCTCAAGAATCATTCTCAGCTCTGTTCTCAGAGTGTTGAAAAGGACAGGGCAGGGACAGTTCTTGACTGCTCCTGACTCCAATTCTGCTTCTTCTGGGGCCATGAAAAAATGACTTTGGCAGCCCGAACCGATACTCAGAAGTGCTCCAAAACCATTCTGGCGACCCGAACCACCCGAAGGCATCGAAAGCCGGTAGACACTGCAGGGCCTAGAGCTGGATCCTGGTACCGGCCTTCCCTTGCGTCGCTTGCGATCGATCCGCGGGGGCCTGTGCAGGGTGCTCATGCATCTGCAAGAACAACACAGAAACTTGAGGCCCTTAAAAAGGCCCTTGAGAAAACATCTTTTTTGGGGCGTTCCTGTATGGTTTTGCGGTTGCAAGAACACACGGAGCCACAAGAGCCAAGCCCTCGCCAGGAGCGTGAAAGCCCGAGGCCTGACCCTAATGCTTGGTAAGCTGCTGAGAGGTCTGTGATATCCGTGGCAAGAATGACCCAAAACATCATTCTCGGCGTCTGAAGATCAGCTTTGGGCATTCCTGTATGGTTTTGGGGTTGGAAAACCCACATAACCAATAGAACCAAGCACTTGCCAGAAATGAAAAACAAAAGAAAGGAACCGGGCCCCGTTCTGCTGCTTGTAAGGGTGCCCTGAGGCCCATCTGCTAGGCAGAGACGACACAAAAAACACGATTTTCCGCTTCTGAAAGACCAGTTTTGGGGGGGCATTCCTGTGCAGTTTCGTGGGCTTCCAAAAAAAACCCACGAAGACCAACTAGAGAGCCCGGGCCTCCTCGAAAGTGTGACAGTTCTTGCGAGGGTCGAAGCGGGGGAACACCGGGCGCACGCCGCAGCAGCGGAAGAGCAGGGCCGCCGCAGGCAAGGAGAGAGCGGCAAAGAACATCATGGCCGTGTGCATACCCCTCCAGTCGGAGTCTACGGGAACGATGGCACTGTGCGCCAGCATGCAGGCAAACTCCAGCTGCACGGCGGCTAAAAACATTGCCACAACGCACAGCAGGATCAGCGCGTTGATCAGCAAGTCGCAGCATGGCTTGGAGGGCTTTGCCCGCAAGCAATGCGCAAGCCGCAGGAACACCAAGAGAAGGGAGGGCACGACGCAGAGCCACCATGCGGCGCCCCGCACGAGCTCCTTCGTGACCTCCGTGTAGAGGTGCCTTCCTACACCCCAGTGCTTCCGAGCCTCGGCGGATGCCGTGTCCAAATACGACCAGGCGACCGGGATGAGAGGTGCGATGCAGCGCTTGTACCTGAAGAACTCGGTGGACAGCTCGTGCATGAGGGTCTGTAGCACTTCCGAGCGCACCAGCTCCTCGAAGTGGGCTGCGCTGCCAAACCAAGAGGTCAGGCATCGCAGGACCACCTGCCGGTCGCAGGCCAGACGCTCCCCGTTCCTGACGTGGTCCAAGCGGCAACACTCGCACTCCGTGCCTTGCAACGTGAAAGTCTCGAGCTCGCAATGCAGGCCTTCCAGTGCGCGGAAGTACTGGCGGTATGAGGCCACGCTGGGGTAGAAGGCAACAGCCAGGATCACTGCCTGCGTCGACCAAAGGACAGCCTTGTTCTCCTCCGGGATGCTCCCAACGGCGACAGTGATGCTGGTGAGGGCCAGGGTCAGCAGCAGGTAGCCTTTTAATGGCAAGAATCGCCCCCTTGAATCAAGGAAGCCTGATGCTCTCATTGTTTGTCCTTGCTGTTTATTCCCCCCCCCTGTGCTCTTATCTTTCATCTAAGACCATCTTTGCCTTTACGCAGCTTCATGGGCTTGAGACAGCCGCCTGGCAAAGAGGAATCAACCTTTGCGAATGATCACAAGCAGCAGGTCTCACCTACAATTCGCCCTAGGCCCCCCTTTCCGGACGCGCCCTGGAGGCCAAAGCTTATCTGGGGGGTTTCCGGAAACAGAAGTACCCCTTTTTGGGGGATCCCTTTAAGGGGGATTCTAGTCTACTTGTGGGGTTAAAAAAAGGAATACCCCTGTCTTGGCAAATGCCCATATCTCTGACAAGCAGCAGGGTCCCAACAACACGGGCCGCACGACGAGGTTATGTTTTGCCCCATCTGGGCGGCTGTGCAAGTACGCCGAGAGCTCCTGAGCGGAGAAACGAACAGCTCCGTTCAGAGGCTGCGGGGGTGGGACTCTAAAATTTAGTGGCAACTTAGTGGCTCCTTCGGTTGTTGAGTTGTTGAGGAAGCTCAAGCTACAGCCTGCGCGAGAGGTCAGAGCACAGCAGTTCGAAAAAAATGGCTTCCAAGGCGCGAAGATGCACCAGAGCCGGTGGGTGTAGGTCCGATCCCAGAGGACGAGCATCGACTCCGAGCACTTCAGAAATGCGCCCATGGAGAGGATTCCGGCGGTTTTCCGCGCCGAATCGTGCTGGTCTATGCAGAGTATGTCAAGAAAAATGGGTTGCCGCGCCGGCCACAGGAAGAGCGTCGTACCTGAACGCAGCCACTGACCAAGGCGGGGGGCAGGTGAAAACCAAAAGCGCGCACGAAAGCTCCAAGCTCCAGCGCGTCAGAACTTACTACGCCTCTTACAAGAACAGCCCGCCCATCACAGTGAGAAGGGCTCGTGAGGAATCAGCAGTTTCCACGGGGGCGAAGCAGCCCTGTACTTCATGGATCGCAACAGCCTCGTAGGCCTAAACCCTCCTAAACCGTACACCCCAAATCCTCAACCCTAGACCCTTCTTCAAAAAAGTGCTCCCCATATAGGGCAAGAGAAACTCGGTGGGCATCTGCACACGAATCATCTAGGCATTTCTCCAATTGTTGTTTGGGCCGGGGGGGGGCGTGGGGGGGGCTTTGGGTGGCTTGGACTATTCTGCGAGTGCTTGTTGTGTTCTTGGATTGTTCCCGAAAACCCTTTCTGGGGTTGGGTTCTCGTTTAGCGCTTCAACGCGGAGGCGTGCGGAAGGAGCGCTTTCGGATCGAGTTTTGACGAAACAGGCCACGAAGCGAGACGGTCAACGGAGGAGGGCCGGACGGAATGAATGTTGCCGGGAGGCGGCGACAGAGTCAAGGGAGGGGGTCGGAAAATTTTGCTGAGGGGCGTGGGGAGGCGTGGACCATGCATTGGAGAAGCGCGACGTGCGGTTGACGGACGGCGGGGCGAGGACAAGGAGGGGAGAGCGCGGACGGGGAGCGCGACATTCGGTTGACAGGGGAGTGGGGTACACATGGACATGACAAGGGGTTCAGAGCGCGATGTATTCGGTTGAAGGGAAGGGTGTAAGGGGAGCGTGATGGGGGTCCCCCGACTATACCCCACATCGGCAGCACTGTTTGAGTTAGGGTGTAGGGTTCAGGGCTCAGGGTTTAGGACATAGAAATGCGATTCATCCATGCTTTTGAAAGGATTCCCAAGAAGGATCTTTTGAAACAACCCCACACCAAGGGCTCTGAAGAAATCGGCCCTACTCAAACATAGAATAACTGAAGAAAAAACAGTAACATACAATAACCATCGCAGGCGCAATCAAACAACGCGGATTCTAAAGTGAGGAAGACCTCGAAACAATGCGCCCAACAGCTTTTAGGGCTTGGGGCTTAGGAGCCCTGAACCCCAAACCCTAAACTTTGGCCCTAAACCCTAAACCCTAAACCCTAAACCCAACCCTCTATTTCCTTGAACCTCTTCGCACTCCTGAAACCGCTAGAGAAGCCCAGCTGCCGTAGAGAACGATGCCCACGCCGGAGGCCCACAAGCTGCGAGGATACTCGTAGCCCTTCTCCTTTTTGCTATCGGGGATTTTGGATTAGGGTTTAGGGTTTAGGGTTTGGGGTTTAGGGTTTAGGTTTCGAGTTTAGGTTTTAGGGGGATGTAGACCCTCTGAATCAGGTCCCTGCCAGAAGAGGGTGAAGAAGGGTTCCCTTTTCTAAGGGCCCCCCTTATCCTACCTAGGATTTTGAGAAGCAGCAGCAAGGGAGGAAGGGACGAGTGGGTGGATAGGGATTTGAGAATTTGGGGGGGGGGGGGGGGGGGGGGGGGGGGGGGGTCTCATCTAAGCCCTCTACAAACCCTACAAGGATTCGGTTTCCTTGTTCTTTTTGGTGGTGTGTGTGTGTGCTTTTGTTTGCTTTTTCTTTTTATGAGGGTGTGTGTGTGTGTGTATACCTAAGCATCGATCATAAATCCCTTACAGACCTTAAGGTATTAAGCAGTCTTGCCCAAAGGCCGCAGGCCCCGAGACCAAGAAAAGCCAACAGAGAGGCCCTTTGAACCCTGAACATCGAAATAAGAGTTTACGAACTCCAAATAATAAGATCCCCTAAAATTAGGACCCCTAATCTCAAGATGGGAATCCCCCCCCCCCAAAAAAAAAAAAAAAAAAAAAACAAAACAAAAAAAACAGCTCAGGGTTCCCAGTAGTCCAGGCCAGGAAGGATCTCCAGGAAGTAGAGGCCGGCAGCTACCAAAGCTCCAGCCGTCGATACGACCGCGGCCGGAAGCGAGTTGTAGAGCCAGAGGGCAGTCAGTGCCTGGTCAGAGACTTGGGGACGGAATGCTGTCGGATGCGAGATGCGAGATCCTGAAAGGTTCTCAGTGGAGCAAGAGCGGGGCCGACTGGGCCCCCCCCCCTCCACCCCACCCTCCACACCCCCCAACCCCACAGGCGCCTTCAGCCATGGGTTTCCATGCCAACTGTGGCTCCAGAACGTGGAGATCCGACTGGTCTGGTAGCTGGCGCGATGATCTGGGGGCCCGCCCCGCAGCGGGCGCGCGAATCCTGAGACACCGAAAAACGTGCTGCAACTCCGGGTTTTGGGTTTTGGGTGGGGTACCGGCTTGCTGGCTCTGAACCTCTTTCAGCTCGGGCAAGTTGCTTTTGGGAGGGGCTAGGGCGGGAAGGCCTCAAAAAAACCCACACAAAGGGCCCAACCAAAAACACCACCCCGACTCGAAACAGCTGGGTGGCTACAGAGGGCTTGGTGTGCCGGCACGGCCCGGATGATGTCCGGCGACACGGGCTGCAGGGAAGCGGCGTGCTGAGTGATGAAATCCTGTTGGACAGCTTTTCGGGCTTAGAAGCCTAAACCCCAGAAACTCCCTGATACATCCCAGAACTTTTCCCCAACCCCGAGGGCTTTCATTCGGGGGGGGTGAGGGCGCTTCGGGTTCACACGGTCTGCCTCCATCTCGGCATCCTCCATGGCTTGTCAGGGAGGATTTAAATCTTTATAAAGCTCAACAAGGGGCTCCAAAAGCTTTTGATCCCATGGGGTTTACGAAAGGGACCCCGAGATATAGAACCCCAAATAGTAGGATTCACCCCCATGTGCGGCTCACAAGAGGCGTGGTATGCGGAGCCTAGCTTGGTTTCGACTTCAGGGCTTAGAGAGGCGTGAGAACCGGCTTTCAAGGCTGCTCCGCTGTTGTTTGGGCTGCGGTGGCCCCGCGTTCGGGGCGCAGCCGCCTTTCTTGAGCCTGGCGACCGGGAACCTTTTTGTACGGCGATTTTACGACGTGGGCTCCAATCCCATTGGCTACGGGTGTGCAAGCCCCAAGACCCTCATGAGCACGCGAATGACGAAGCTCGGTCCCTTCCGAAATCGGGCCCCCAACATAACGGCTCAAGTCATTCGGTCTGCTTTTTTTGGCCCCACGGCCCTTCTGTACAGGTCGGGGTGACCCACAGTACGGCCACCCCAAACCCTACCAAAACCCTACCCCCTTTCACTGAAGGTACCCCCACCACAAAGTGCCACAACACGTAGAAAAGGGCCGAACCCCAGCAACGCAACTGTACAGTTGCCAGGGCATAAACAGAGGGCAAGTCTTGGGGCAAGTCCGAGCCTTCTTTTCGGATACAGAGAAACCACTCAAAAACACTCTAGCCACTACGCAAAACCTGACAACGAAGGCCCACGCTGCCGCAGTGCCCCTTGCGGCTCTGTGGTGGCCGAAATTCCGATATGCAAGATCTTGGCTCCTCTCTTGGAAAGGAGGAGCCCTCTTAGGTGCCAGCACCGCCTCCTGCTCTCCTCCAGGGCTTCAGCGTGGTCCAGGCGAACTCGTGGCGGCAGCGGCAGGTCATGTGGTCGCAGCCCCCGTTCTTCTCGATGTACTCGTGGCAGTTGGGGCACCTCTTGACCCGGACCCCGGCGACCGCCGCCTCCGCCACCTCAGAAGGCACACTGCAAACAAACTCTGAGCCTTCAAGCTGGCTTTGTTGGTAGGTATTAATAAGCTTTCCCGAATGTACGAAGCATTGTGCTCGGAAAACTGCGATGTCGTTTGGGGCCTCCTCATCCGGCACCTCTGTCTCAGCCGACTCGACGACTCCCGTGAAGGCGTCCCACTGGTGCTCGCAGATGAAGCACATCACCGTGTCGAAGCCCAGGTACCCAAGCCCCACGCAAAGCGGCTGGGGGCAGTCCACCTGCATCCCGGAGTGCAAACTTCGCTGCCCAAGCCTCTACTCACCTCTCTCTTGCTGAGAAGATCTGCAAGGCCCCCCTTCTCGCGGAGATTGCCCCCCATGGGGACCACTGCAACTTCTTCTGAAATCTGCTTGGGGTACCAAAATGGTGGCCCTCTTCCCCCCACCGCTGAAACCCACCCAAGAAACCCCCGGATCGTTGGGGAGGCCAGTTGCCTTCGTGGCACAGCTTTGGCCGGCTGGCTGCCGAGGTGGCACACGCATTAAGTAAATCTCGCCTAAGAGAATAGCGGCTTCATATGATGTAAGGCGGCCGGCCAGGTGCAGGTTTGAGCATTCGGGGATCTTTGAGAAAGGGGGGGTTTTTCTGATAGCTGCAGCCGCACCTGAACCTCGGGAGGGTAGAGGTGGCTCTGCTGCAGGCGATGACGGCGGTCGAGGTCTGCCACAAGCTGCGTGAGCTGGGGGGAGCCCTTCACCAAATGCCACCTGGGTTAGACGCGCTTGGGGCTTGACATGGTTCGACCAGGATGTCTCAAGGTTGTAAGATGTTGTAAGTCATACGGCACACCACAAAGACACGAAAACATCATTTGCCCCCCAGCCGCAGCCGGTCCTCCTGCCGCACATTCGCTTCGCCTGAGCCGTATCCATACGGCTTCATGAAGGTCCGGGTTGGCGGGTCTCGTGACACTGTGACAAGTAGCTGGGCAGTTGGGCTTCTTCGGGCGTTTGTTGAGAGTGGGGGCGGAGGGGGGGTGGGGACCTGAAAGAACAAAAAAGTCTTTGGCACTCTTCCGTGGTTTGGTTTGGTCCGAGGGGCAGTTCGGCCAAAGGCACCGTGATGGAAAGTGGTTGCCCCGGCGGCAGCTCTCGATCTGCTCCTCAATACATGCCCATGCCATACATCACCACAAATCACTACAGATCACCACAGATCACCACAGAATTCTCGGGCACCATTCGGCTTCCCAAAACCCCCCTAGAACATCCCGAAGCACTCGCACCTCTGCCCACTTCGCCCAGCAAGCCGCACAGGCCATGTGCCCTTCTTCGCAGCCAGGCGGATGAAGCAGGGCCAGGCACACCTCAAGGACTCTCTCCTCGCCCTCCTCGCCCTCCACCTCTCGCCCTCTTCCCGCCCTCCCCTCCTCCCTCCTCTCGCCCCTTTTCCCTCCCGCGCCTCGCCACAGATGGGACATGGGGGTGCCGGGCCATCGGCCACTTTCCGAGGCACGGCGTAGGGCGCCAGGCGCCTCTGGGCTGAAGGGGCTTCGGGTCGCTATACAACTTAGAGTTTAGGAGCCTTTTTTGCATTTTGGGATACTTATAGGGCCCCTTTAGGGTTCGAGGTTTCTAGATGTTTTTTGGCACTTTTTGCGATGACTCCATAGGGACACGATTCTTCAAGGAGACCCCCGCCCTTCAGCAATCCGAATCCCCCTCCCAAGAAAAGAACACCTGAAACCTGCAGACCCTAAACTTGCGATGTTCCCCCTTATACCAACAGCCCTTTCTAGGGATTCTAGTACCCCCTACTGTAATCCCTATTAAGGACCCAATGCGACTTCAACTCCACAGACATGGGACCCTTTTGCCTCAGCTCCCGCTTCTCACGCTGGACCCGCAAGGCATGCTCGGCGAAGAGCGCGGCGAGGGATGGGGCCAGCAGCTCCAGCAGGTCCCTGAGCTTCAGGTACCCATTAGGGGTAAGGGGCAAAAAACACTAGAAGTTTCTGACAACCCAGTTTGGGAGGGGGGGGGTGCCTTGGGCTTTAAGGGGTTTGTGCAGTTTGGGTTCGCCAGGGCATGAGAACCTCTGATGTCTCGGCGTGTTCGGCCTCTCTTTTGTCTGCTTCAACACGCTCCTGCGCAGCTCCCAGAGCGCACTCAGCAAGCCCTCTGACACCTAACGCCGCACCGAGCAAGCCCTGAGTCCTTAAAGTACAAAGGGGGGGGCTCCCCCAAAACTCTGAAAATTCCTTCTGGACTTCTGCCACCGAGGGCGCTCTTGGCAGGAGCATCCCGGACGCCAGGGATGCCAGCCGAGCGGGCTCAGGTGATTCAGTTGGAAGCTCTCCTGGCACCGGGCCTCAGAAGAAACTGAAGGGGGCTGAAAAAGACGAGAGAATGGAGGCGTGAAGTTCTCATGGCGTGCCCTTGGACGTGGACAGGTAAACACCACAAAGCTCCGCAATAGGTCACAGCGGGCAAAGCGAAGTTTCAGAACACCCTGACACGCAGAAATCACGCAGATCATGCATCCACGTGGCCAGCTGCTGCTGGACGAAGCCCTGCCAGCAGGACGTGCAAGCCACGAGATCGCAGCTGCAGTGCAGCAGAGCGAGGGATCGGCGGCCGCACTCGGGACCTCGCTCTAACTCTTAAGTGCTTACCCCTAAGAGCCACTGGTGCCATGGCCCCAGGCTTCGGTTCTCTTTTCTTGCACCTATTTAAAGGGAAAAAAACAAAGGGAACAACAATGCCACATCGTGCAAAAAAAAAGCGTCACCCTGCATTCACTGCATATTTCAAGCACAGGGACAGAGCGGCCCCGCCGCGGCGGGCGGCCCGCGCGCGCACCAGGGCGAGAGCTCCTGGACTTTCCTTTTGGCCTCCCGCACGAAGAGCCCGACCTCCTCGAGCAAGGGGCTCTCGAAGAGGCCCAGCGTCTCGAAGCAGCCCTCGCTGCAGCCCTTGTGCACGCAAGGGATGTCCATGGCAGCGTTCTCGCGGCCCCAGCGGAGCTTGTCCTCAAGGTCGGCGAGCCAGCAACCCTCGCAGGCTCCGTGGCCACAGGCGCGGTTTGCGTACACGGGCCCCGCCGCGCCACAGAGAGGGCAGCGCGTCACCTCCTCCTCGCCCAAACAGGGCCAGAGGCTGCTGCCGTCGATGGCCTCCGCCAAGGCGCGCGCCTCCTCGACCTGGAGCACCAGGCCTGGGCCACGGCCGGGGGACAGCAACTGTGTCGTGACAAGGCTACACCTCGCAGAAAGACTCTGAGCGACAAATACACTATACAGAGTTGGACAAACCTTGCCCGCCGAGAGGCGCTGGGGGAGCCGCCGGGCGCAGCCGGGCTCCGGGCACGACACCTCCAGCTGCCAGCGCTCGCGGCACCCAACGAGCTGGCCGCGGACGAGGTTCCTTGCTGCGAAAGATGGCTCGACACCGAAGCCCGAAGCCCTCCGAACCGCGCATCATTGAGGATGCATCTGATTTTGCTAGACTGCAGTCGGATCAAGAACTAGTTGCAGCTAGCTGCTTGAAGCATGCCCCACAGACAGCATGGCTGCAGGCCGAATGAAAGGCTCCTGCACAACTGGTCTCACTTGAGGGTTTTTTGGGGGCTCATGGCTGGCGCCCTTGTCTGGCACCCTGGCATGTGGCCAAGCTTTACATGTTCAGGGGGCTCAGGTGCTCTGGAAAACATCTGCGAACACAACTCCTGCGTGCGTCTCGAAGACTTTGAGCTCTTCAGTGCCGCGACATACTGGGACCGCACACTTGGTGCCGAAAGATGCGATTCTGGTCTCCATCTCACATTGCTCTACACCGCTAAGGCCGCCGAGAACTCGGTGACTTGAGATCGCCAAGAGATGAGTGCCGTCCATTCTTGCCTATTCGCTTCAACCCACCCAATTCAGCTCCCATCTGGCACGACTACAGGCAGCTGCTATGTCAAGGTCCTGTCAGCACACGATCAACGCACAAAGTCAAGGCTGCGTTCGATCAGCTTTTTGGCCTAGGGTTGGCCTTTCGGCTGTACAGGTCGTGCGGGGGGGCACAGACTCACACCCCCCCTGCCACCCAAACCCTACCTAAGTAACTAAAGCCAAGCCCCGACAACGCGTAACGCGTGTTGCCTGTACGTCGAGGGGGGCATACGAGATGCATAGGAGTCAGGGCCTTCTGATAAGTCGGGCTGCGATCAGTACAGCCAAGACAAGACACAAATTCAACCTACTCTCGCCACATTATGCCTCTAATCATCAACGCCGACAAGGCCCTGCCCTTGCAAGGCCCCTTGGATTACCTTGCGCAGCTGACGTGCTGCGGCGCGAGGCACAAAACTCACAGTCCGCGGCCTAGCCGGCCTAGCCGGCCTAGCCGGCCTAGCCGGCCTAGCCCCTGTAGGGCTTCAGCGTGTCCCAGCAGAACTCGTGGCGGCAGCGGCAGGTCATGTGGTTGCAGCCGCCGTTCTTCTCGATGTACTCGCGACAGCTCGGACACTTCTTGACCCGGACCCCAGCGACCGCGACCTCCGCCACATCCGCCACCTCCCGTCGCGGAAAGCAGGCCAAGCTACTTAAGCCTTCCAAGCCTTCACAAGCTCACCTGCAAGTAAAATCTCCTCAGATGCACTCGCGCCTCCTCATCCGGCAGCTCCGTCTCAGCGGACTCGACGACTCCCGAGGACGCCTCCCACTGGTGCTCGCAGATGAAGCACATCACCATGTCGAAGCCCAGGTACCCAAGCCCAACGCACAGAGGCTGGGGGCAGTCCACCTCCGCACAGGAGTTTCGGAAGGCTGCAAAAAGCCCTCTTCCCCTGAAGCCGCGAGCCCTCTCGAATTTCCTGCGTTCGACGCCAGCATATTATTCAACGTGTCTCAACGTGTCTCAACCATGCCAAGCTCTGAGCTCTGAGCCCGCAAACCACATCAAAACCTGTCAACCATGGTAAACCGGCACCTGCAGCGGAAGAGGGTAGAGCTGATTCTGCTGGAGGCGTTTTCGGCGGTCGAGGTCCGCCAAGAGCTGCGAGAGCTGTGGCCCACTCCTCAGGCACCGCCACCTTAGAGAGCACCGTAAGGCCTTGGGGGGCTTTGAGGGGTTTGGCTCAGGGTGGAGGACATGTAGCTTCTTGGTTTCTCACGCCTGTGGCCCTCCTTCTGCCAGGATCTCGTGAAAGCTCGAAACATCTTGACACGCTGCGCTTGCACGCCATCCCGGTCCAAAAACACCCCAGAGGACCCGAAGAAATCACACACACACACACACACACTCACACACTCACACACCCACACACACCGCGAGGGGTTTAAGCATGTTTCCCAAGATGTTGCTCAGCCCGAGCAGCATGGAGGTCTCGTGCCCCTCCTCAGCCAAGCTGGCTGCGCCTGAGCGCTTCTGAGATATGGGCTTCGGGACCAGTCGCAAATCCCATCTGAGGTAGAGGGCTTTAAAAAAGTCAGCTTGGAAATTCATGTTTTTAATTTTGGTTGAGGACGTAACAGGGGGATCATCGGGGGATGTTTAACGGAGCCGTGGGGCAGTCTGGCCACACGCACCTTGCCGGAAGGTGCCGGCAGCGGCGGCAGCTTTCGATCTGCTCCTACGAGGCCACAAGGAAGATTTTGAAGCGATTCCCTGGCAACTCTTTCTATGACTCTCTTCCTCCCCTTCAGCACTTAAGGTCCACAAAGCCCTTCCAAAAAAAGAGGTCAGAGAGGTGCGCCTCGGCCCACTTCGCCCAGCACCCCTCGCAGGCCGCGTGCCCCTCTGGGCAGGGACAAAGCAGAGCCCAGGACACCTGCACCAAGACCAGCAAGAGATCAAAACCATGCTGTGTCTGCATGTGTCTGCGTTGTTTCCAAGAGAGCACATGCTGCTGAAACCGCCTCACTTGGGGGCCCATCCTTCTAGGACTCAGTTCAAGTCAAACCGAGTCAAACCCCCCAAGCCCCCAGTGGTGCCTCGTTGCAGATGGGGCACGTTGGCCGGGGCCCGGCCTTCCGGGCCACCACGAAGGGCTCCAGGCGCCTGCAGAACAGCTATGGCCGTGCGTATGGAGCGGAGCCTTGAACGGGGTGTTTGGAGTAGAGTGGGTTGGGGGTAGGGGGGGTGGTGTCTTGGGGCCACTCAACCCTTCTCAAGCAATGGCTAAGGTTCGATAGGTAATGGCCCCTTCGGAAAACGCACCAAGCGGGTATGTAGGGAGAAAAGTGGCGGCTTAAAGAGGCTACTGGACTCTTGCACGACACGAACAGAATTATAACCGAGACCGACAAAGTCAGCTTCCATGAGTATCATCTGCTCCCCACCACACGCAGACCTACAATGTAACAGGCTGAAGTGTGTACTCCAATGCAAACGGAGCACCACGTTCTTTCTACACCTGTGTAACATGAAAAAGAAACTTTTTTCGAATGAGGCCTCTGTAAAACACTACAGTACAACGCGACGTATTAGCGTGAACAGTGTCCGGAAGTGTTGCAGTCGGCCTTTGGAATCCCTTTGGAATACCAGGCGCGGAACGTTTGGAAAGCTTCCAACATGATTGCTTCGAAGTATGCCTGCTTCGGGGATCCTACAATTCCATGATGTAGATCAAAAGACAACACCCTCACCAGTAGAACCTTGCGCAAAGTTCCGTACAACCTCGGGGGGCACGACTTGACAAGAAAAAATAAGAGAGAGGCTTCCGGTTGGAAGACAAAAGGCGCCCTCCGACAAGAGGAGAAGGACCCCCTCAATCGGGTTTCAGAGTTTCAGATCGGGCGCCTCATCTCAGCCTTCAGGCGTGCCACCGCGGAGGGGTCGAGCACGAGGCGCAGGTCCCTTTGAGGAGTTCCACAAACTCTGAAAGGATCCAAGATTTCATGAAGGAACTCACCCAGAACAGGAAGATCAACCCCTGCTTCATATTGCTTTGCAGGGAGTGGGGGCTTCCTCTTCTTGTATGGCTTCAATGGAGGGCTTCAAAAAAGGGGGTGCCACGAAGCGTCTCACGGCATGCCGGCCCCGGGTGCCAAGGATGCGCGTCTCCGGGGCTCAGGGCGAAGTTCTCCTCACTACTCTCAAAGCCCCCAAATGAGCAAGTGCCTGTTCTCTTTTCTTCTTTGAGCAACTATAGCTATAGTCTCTATAGAGATTAAGAATAGTCTCTATAGAGACTAGAGAGTACGCAACCAAGCCCCGCAAGTGCTTCTAATCTGTCTGACTTTGGCTGAAAGAACTCCCTTCCTAGAGACGGCAATGAAGCCAGGCTTCAGGCCTTCTCAGGACCCCTCCCTTGCGGAGCTTCGCAGGATGTGTGATTTGCTAAAGGCGTCGAAGTGGGATGTCAGTGGCGTCGCTGTGTATGCATCCAAGAAGCCATCCACTGCTTGATGAAGCTCTCCCAGCAGGGCGTGCAAGCGGCAAAGCCGCAGCTGCAGTGCAGCAGAGCGACGGATCGGCGGCCGCACTCGGGACCTCAATCTCAGGAGCCCTTGTCCATGCTCGTGCCACGCAAAGCTCAAGGTTGTCTTTCGTAAACCCCGACAGTTCGCAACGCTACTTTTTTAGAATGTCACACAATATTTAGGCCACAGGGACAGAGCGGCCCCGCCGCGGCGGGCAGCCCACGCGCGTAATAGGGCGAAATCTCCTGAAGCTTCCTCTTCGCCTCCCGCACGAAGAGCCCGACCTGCTCCAGCACCGGGCTCTCGAAGCGGCCCAGCGTCTCGAAGCAGCCCTCGCTACAGCCCTTGTGCGCGCAAGGGATGTCCACAGCGGCGTTCTCGCGGCCCCAGCGGAGCTTGTCCTCAAGGTCGGCGAGCCAGCAGCCCTCGCAGGCTCCGTGGCCACAGGCGCGGTTTGCGTACACGGGCCCCGCCGCGCCACAGAGAGGGCAGCACGTCACCTCCTCGTCGCCCAAACAGGGCCAGAGGCTGCTGCCGTCGATGGCCTCCGCCAAGGCGCGCGCCTCCTCCACCTGGAGCACCAGGCCTGGGCCACCGCGCCGGGTCAGGATTGGGAAAGCAAAACACGAGAGAGAGAGAGAGAGAGACCTAAACAGAGCTGCTGGAGGCAACCACAGCAAACATTAAAGCGTCCGAGAAGCGCTGAGGGAGCCGCCGGCCGCAGCCGGGCTCCGGGCACCACACCGCCAGCTGCCAGCGCCCGCGGCTCCCAACGAGCTGGCTGCGGACCAGCTGTGGGAGGCATTTCGCACAGGCAGCGTGGCTGCAAGTCATGTGAAAGGCTCCTGCATGGGTCTCGAAGACTTCGAGCCCTGCACTGCCATGGCATCCGACGCATCTGTCAAAGCTGCCGGGCTCCATCTCGCATCGCTCCGAAGGCGAAGGCGAAGCCAGGCCGCCGCCGGGCTCCGGGCACACCTTCAACTGCCAGCCGCTCCCAACGAGCTGGCTGAGGAGGTTCCTCGGCCCGGAACCCCGAGAAAAAAATCCGAAAAAGGACAGCCCGGAACCCCGAGAAAAAAAAAAACCGAAAAAGGACAGCCCCCTGACACCCGCAAACCCCTAAACCCCTCAGCGCCGTCTCTCAGAGGGATGACTGCCAAACATCCCGAGCTGCTGGAAGCGTGGCCCATCGGTAGCGTGGCTGCGGGCATGAAGTTCTCCTCTGCGGCTCTGCGGGTTGTGCCGTCGTTGTTTTTTTGAGAATTTGGGGCACGGCGTGATTTTCGAGGCTGGGTTTTGTTGCGTCTTGGATGTGAGAGTTCCTGCCTCGTTGCTAGGGGCTCCAAGAGTTGGACAACTTGAAAAGTCGCAATTTGCAAAAACAAAAACGTGTAGAACTCCAAGACTCCTGCGTGCGTCTCGGAGCCGCGCCCCACGCGCTTGGGGCATTTTTTGCCGCAGACGTTGCCCATGTCACATGGCCATGGTCCGCAAGGCGGGGAGGGGGGGGGCCTTGAGGCTTGAATGGCTTCCGACTTCAGGCTAGCTTTAGAATCATGTGGGGGGGGGGGTGCGCGAAATTTGGGTACCCTTTTTGGGGGTCCTTTTAAGGGATTCTATTCAATTTGGGGTGTCAAAGCGGGCACCCATATTTTTGGGAAATACCCACATAGACCCCCGTGGCATTGGACCTCAAGTGACATCCATGCGGAACGGCCTTTGTTTGCCCACATCCTTACGATGACAGCTGCCATCTCCTACAGCGCTCGGCGATGTGCTCTTCTCTTCAAGTGCCTTGTTCTGCTGATGCCGGTTTCCGCTTTCTCGGTTTTGCCGTGACGTTTAGGGCAACGCTCTTTCTCTCTCTCTTCCTTCCTTCCTTCCTGCGCACGTCTGCGCACCTACCCCTTAGGGGCCGCACGCGAGGGGCGGGCTTTGGCGATCCGTCCGTGTGTGAAACTGTGCAAGGTGCCGAGTGGAGCTTACAGTAGCGGCCACCTTGAGCTCCTTTTTTTCCCTTCTTTCTTCTTCTTTCAGCCGCTGGACGCCAGGCCCTCGCGCTCCCGCTCGTCCGCGCCCACGTAGCCCGCCAGCAGCCGCTCCCGGGCCTCCCAAGAAAGAAGAACACAGGAAAGGACACAGAATAGAGCTGCCCCTCCCTTCCCTCCTCCCTTCATAACTTACGAAAAAAAATCTGACACGGCAAGAGAGACAGAGAGACAGACAGAGTGAGAGAGGGAGACAAAGAGAGGGAGAGAGGGAGAGGGAGGGAGAGAGATGGAGATGCGCCCGCGATGATCGCGGAAGCCCGGGGGCCTCCAGGTCTGCCACGTAATCTTCCAGCTCGCCCACCTCAAAACTCTGTTTTTTTTTAGGGTTTATGGAGTTTATGGGCACCTCGCCCTCTTCGCTGACTAGAATACCCCACTGATGCGGGCGTGCCAACTTTTGGCATGAGAAAAACATCCTGGAATGGAGGTCAGCCATGATGAATGGAGGTCGCAAGACGTCCGCCGTATGGAATACTGCCTTCGAGTCCTGCGCCCCACACCGCCGAAACCAATTGCGAGACTGCGCACTTATTTTAGTTTGCAGCTAGGGTTGTTTTTCTTGTGGCCTCTGGCCGTGCAAGCACCAGCCATGCTTTGCAGACTCCAAGCAATGGCAGTCCACTCTCAGCCTCCCGCTGTCTTGCACTGGGCAAGACTTTCACGACCAACTCGGGAATGCGCAAGCCTCGGCCCATGTCCAACGATGCTTCCAACAACGACGAGGCTTCACGAGTCTTGTCTTCACGATCTGCGCTTTGAGGCGTTCGGGGTGGGCGCGGGAGGCCCTCGTACCCCTTCGGGGGGGGGCAAGCTCTGCTTATGCTCTCTTTTTTCTTTGACCCTAAACCCCAAACCCCAAGAAAAGCCCTCCTAAACCCTAAACCCGAAACCCTACACCCCAAACCCTAAAGCCCTTATCAAAAGTGCCCCCCAAAAAGAGGGCGGAGGCGCACGCACTGCTCGCAGCGCTCCTCAGCCTGCCGGCGCTCTGCGGCCGTGGCGATGGAGCTGCGGCTCCTGGGAGGCTCCCCGCCCTGCCCCCCGATTCGCCCGCCCCCCCCCCCCCCCCCAAAAAAAAAAAATAGGTTTTGGGTTTAAGGTTTAGAGTTTAGGGTTCAAGATTTAGGGTTTACATTTAAGGGTTTAAGGTTTAGGATTTAAGGTTTAGGGTTTAAGGCTTAGGGTTTAGGGTATAGGCGGTATAGGGTTTATAGGGTGCAGGGTGTCTCAATTGAGGAGGTGCCCCTTGGCGAAGGCATGCAAAAGCGGCGCTGAAAAAGCAGGTGGGCTGCGACTGAGCTTACTGGGTTTCTCGGCCTCAGTTCCTTCTCTTCCACGGACTCGACCTCGGACGCCAGGGGCATGCGGCGGCGGCAGAAGCTCTGCCCCATTGCGTCATTGGCACGGCCCGCGGTGCATGCAGTCGTCCACCATATGCCACCATGCTGCATATGGAGTCCTATGGTGTCCTATATAATAGGCACCCCTAATTCCTCAGCAACGCTGGGTTGCGAGTTCTGCAAACAGGTAGGCCATGCGACGCTTAAGAAGAAGACGCTGTAGCGCACGTGCTCTCCAGCCAGATTTGGATGCGGGCCCGGAATCCCAGAGGGCCCACGCTTGCCGAGCATATTCCCAGCCGCGCGATCAGCACAGCAAGGGCTTTGGGCGTGAAGGAGTGCCACTGCTGGTCCCCTGCACTTCGTAACTCGTTGAAGGGATCGCAAGTAGGATATCCCTCATTCCCCCGCCCCCACCCCCCCCCCAATATTCCTAAAGCAGACACGGAAGGCACAAGGTGGTGCAGCGTGCAGAGCCGGAGTGGTTGCATCTTGGATGCTTTCTGTTGGCAGGATTTCGGGGTTTGCCAGGGACGGATGGTGTACTTGGCACACCTCCTTCCCAGTGCTTTAGCTTGAAGTGTACTTCGTACACTTTGGGCCGGCATTTTCACGGCCTTTCGAGTGCCATATAATGGAATTAGTCGGCACATAAAATTTCAGCCCCGAGGACGTGACATTTGGAACGCTTAAGCAGTTTTAGCGAGGAGTTCTCCCAGCCTCTCTTGTGGTAGTTCTTCGTCCTGCTCAGTGCATTGCGATCAGTCCAATCCGGCTCAGGATTTGGAATTCTCCCTAAACATTGAACTCGACGTAAAGCTACCTAAAGACATGTAAAAACCTGCGGAATGAGAGCCGCCGTTCAAGCCACGTCCTACTGAGGCCGGCGCAAAAACAAAAGAAGGAGTACAGCCTCAGCGCTAAGCCGCTAAGTCGCCATCTACCCTCAACCCCCTGTGTCTGTTCGAACTTCTCCTCAGGGCTGACACCATAAACTTCCTGTGGGGGGGGCAGGCACGGGGCCCTCTGCAGATGATAGAGCTGCCAATGGAATCACAATAAACCCGTGCAACAAAAACAAACACATCTGGGCCGCGATCAGGCCGCGAGCCCGCCCAAAGGCAAAATCATAAGCTTAAACAACCACACACAGGGTTCTTTCACCCCTAGTACGGACTGCCAGTATCACGGGGAACATCCCAGATTTTAACGATGCAACTGAGACCTCTGTCACCGTGCCTAGAGGTCATGGCTGGTAAGTCCACCAGGAGCCTGCTGTTTTCGACTTGAAGCCGTAGTACATGCGCAGCAACTGGGGATGCCAGAAGGCAGTGCCTTCCTCGCCGGTAGTGGACATGCCTGGATGGATCGCCGTCTCGGTTTCTGCCCACGTCCCGTTTCCATTCGGACTTGGGGTCCAATGCCATGCTCCTTTATCATCCGCATTGCTGCTGACTGCTTTGATTCCGGAAGCAACCTTGGACACCATGGCATGCCCCAAGGTGCACAAAAAGGTCGAAAAGGGGTACTGACACTCCACTCGGACGAGGGGCGATCATGAAGCTGCCTGTCCAGACGGCAACATGGGAGTGGCGCCGCGAGGGGAGCGTACCGGCCGGCGTCAGAAGCTCCCACGTGTCGGTGACGGTGCTGTAGGCGTGGAGCTCGTTGAGGCCGCTGGTGACTCTGCCACCGAAGACCTGAGCGGAGCCCGGGAGCAACGAAACATCTTTGCTGGAGTACAGCGGGCTTATCAAGCACGGCTCCATGTGTCAGCATCCCAAAAGCAATCAAAAGCAGGACTGTGGCCCGCGCGAGCATGAGGCTCAGCTCCTTGGCCCACACGGCCGTATGGCCGTAGCGCACAAAGCCGTTGGAGCCAGGCCCGTTAGCCCGAGTTGTCCAGGTGCCGTTGTGGGGGAAGAACGCGTAGAGGAGCTTCTTCGGTGTGGACGACGTGATGCCCCCGTACACCAGCATGGCAGGGTTGCCCTCGATGGGGGCGATCACAGCCGAGTGGAGTCGGGCGTGCCTAGGGGCTGCGGTGGGATTGACGACAGCAACTTGCGACCATGAGTAGTCGGAGGTGGCGGCGACCTTCTTCAAGAGCCATACGTCTGGCGAGTTTGCTCCTGAAGCAAACTTGCACCGTTCTGGGGTATCTGTGGCAAGCATGGACGTGCATGGACATGCATGGACCATGGACCATGACGCAACGCTTCCAGCGAAAGGGCCTCCGAAGACGAGGCAGCCGCCGTCGGCATCCGACCAGACCATCGTGTGCCTCCACCGTGGGCCTCACAGCTACCCCGCAAGCGCCCAAGGGAATCTCTAAGTCGCAAAGGAAATCTCAAAGGCACGGCACAAGCACAGGCAGGAAGCAGGATGCGAATCGCCTGGGCCGGAGACGGCAGGCGTGACATTCCTCCAGGACGTTGTGCTCGGGGAATACTCCCACACGTCCTCCAGCTCGACGTTGCCTGGCAAACGGAAAAACGGGAAAAAATAAATAATAATAATAACGCAGCCAGCAGCCCAACAAAAAACTGAGCACGTCACAGCATGCCAGCCAGCAGCCCAAAGCCCAAAGCTCCACGTGCCCCCCCCTCCCAATTGTGCCCCCAGGAGCCCCAAGCACCGGCCTGCATCCCTTCCACCAAAGAGCAAGGCGGGATCGGCAGCCTCAGGACTGCAAATTCTGCTGGACGATCGTGGCGGCGGCAGGCCCGCACTGGACGAGAGATCCGTCCAAACCTTGGCACACAAGAGTTGCACGAGACAACACACGGCCACACCTGCCGCAATGTGATGGCAGCTGCTGAACTGAGACCAAGCAGCCTGTAGTCCGTTTGTTGACGTCGTGGTGGTCGTTGTCGTTGTCGTCGTTGTCGTTGTGGTCGTGGTGGCGGCGGTGGTTGTTGGCTGGTAAGTCCACCAGGAGCCTGCTGATGCCGAGTGGAAGCCGTAGTACATGCGCAGCGTCTGGGGATCCCAGAAGGCAGTGCCTTCCTCGCCGGTAGTGAGCATGCCTGGATGGATCGCCGTCTCAGTTTCCTCCCAAATTCCGTTTTCATCACTTGGACGCCAGTGCCAGGCTCCCTTGTCATCAGCATTGCTGCTGATTGCTTTCTGTCCGGAGGCAACCTTAGACTCCAAAGAGCGTTCTTGAAAAACGGCGCACAAAAAGGTCGAAAAGGGGTACTGACACTCCACTCGGACGAGGGGCGATCATGAAGCTGCCTGTCCAGACGGCAACATGGGAGTGGCGCCGCGAGGGGAGCGTACCGGCCGGCGTCAGAAGCTCCCACGTGTCGGTGACGGTGCTGTAGGCGTGGAGCTCGTTGAGGCCGCTGGTGACCCTGCCACCGAAGACCTGAGCGGAGCCCGGGAGCAACGAAACATCTTTGCTGGAGTACAGCGGGCTTATCAAGCACGGCTCCATGTGTCAGGGTCCCAAACGCAAGCAAAAGCAGGAAGCTCCGCAAGCCAGGCGCTGACATGCCTTGACTGTGGCCCGCGCGAGCATGAGGCTCAGCTCCTTGGCCCACACGGCCGTATGGCCGTAGCGCACAAAGCCGTTGGAGCCAGGCCCGTTAGCCCGAGTTGTCCAGGTGCCGTTGTGGGGGAAGAACGCGTAGAGGAGCTGCTTCGGTGTGGACGACGTGATGCCCCCGTACACCAGCATGGCAGGGTTGCCCTCGATGGGGGCGATCACAGCCGAGTGGAGTCGGGCGTGCCCAGGGGCTGCGGTGGGATTGACGACAGCAACTTGCGACCATGAGTAGTCGGAGGTGGCGGCGACCTTCTTCAAGAGCCATACGTCTGGCGAGTTTGCTCCTGAAGCAAACTTGCACCGTTCTGGGGTATCTGTGGCAAGCATGGACGTGCATGGACATGCATGGACCATGGACCATGACGCAACGCTTCCAGCGAAAGGGCCTCCGAAGACGAGGCAGCCGCCGTCGGCATCCGACCAGACCATCGTGTGCCTCCACCGTGGGCCTCACAGCTACCCCGCAAGCGCCCAAGGGAATCTCTAAGTCGCAAAGGAAATCTCAAAGGCACGGCACAAGCACAGGCAGGAAGCAGGATGCGAATCGCCTGGGCCGGAGACGGCAGGCGTGACATTCCTCCAGGACGTTGTGCTCGGGGAATACTCCCACACGTCCTCCAGCTCGACGTTGCCTGGCAAACGGAAAAACGGGAAAAAATAAATAATAATAATAACGCAGCCAGCAGCCCAACAAAAAACTGAGCACGTCACAGCATGCCAGCCAGCAGCCCAAAGCCCAAAGCTCCACGTGCCCCCCCCTCCCAATTGTGCCCCCATGAGCCCCAAGCACCGGCCTGCATCCCTTCCACCAAAGAGCAAGGCGGGATCGGCAGCCTCAGGACTGCAAATTCTGCTGGACGATCGTGGCGGCGGCAGGCCCGCAATGGACGAGAGATCCGTCCAAACCTTGCGTGTGGTACCCGACTGCGTCGAGAGTCAAGTACTAGTAACTCAGTCTAGTGCCATTCCGGTCCATCGTGATCCTGCTCCGTTTTGCGGCTTCATGCTAAAGCTAGCGCGCAAGAGTTGCACGGGACAAAAACTCGAAACCCCGGCAAAGCCAGCGTTGACACCTGCCGCGAGGAGATCACGGACCAGGCAAAAGTGGGGCTGCTGAACTGAAGCCAAATGAAGCCAAGCAGCCTGTGGTGCAATTGTTGATGTTGTGGTGGTCGTGGTCGTGGTCGTTGTTGTTGTAGTCGTGGTGGTGGTTGTTGAGGTCGTGGTGGTGGTGGTGCGGGTGGTGCTCGTGGTCGTGCTGGTTGTCGTGCTCGTGGTCGTGGTGATGGTTGTGGTGGTGGTCGTGGTGGTGGTGGTGGAGGTGGAGGTGGTAGTCGTGGAAGGCAGGGGAAGAATCGTGGCAAGCCGACTCACGAGATAATCGTTCACAAGAGGTGAATCCACTGCGAGATTGCCCGCACCGGAGGGCTGCAAAGTGATGTTTATCACCGTCTTAATCTCGGATGCGCTGGCATCAAGGATCTGGATGCGGTCCCCGATGTCGTAGAGGCTCGCATTGTCCACGGGAATCTGTGTGGACCCTTTGGCAAACTTGATGTCACCAATGATGACTGTTGTGGTGGAAGTTGTCGTGGCCACCTGCACAAAAGCTCTAGTCCGGCAAGCACTGTGGCACACGCCGCGTGTCCCGTGTCAATGCTGTCGCATCCGTTGGGATCTGATGCGAGAAAGGAAGAGCGAGGGACGAATTCAAAGGCAAGGAGAGCAAGAGAGAGCAAGGGACAGCAAAGAGACAGCAAAGAGACAGCAAAGAGAGACAAGAAGAGAAGGAAAGAGAGCTCCTGAAAGGAAACACACCTTGCCTTGTGAGACATGAATGTTGCGGAGCCCCCGAACTTGGCCAGGTACATCCGACCCTCAAAGGGATCCCAAACGGCCGTGTCGTCCCTGTCTTGGACTGGCTGTGGGGACGAAGTGTTGGAGGACCAGGACCCGTTGGACCCGTTCCCTCCGTCAGGAGACCAGTACCATGTCGCCGACGCCGGAGATCCTGGGATCACGCCCCCAAAAGCCTCAGAGGCTCGGAGCGGGGGCGTGTGCTGGAAAAGAAAGCTCGCGAGAGAATCTCGCAACCAACCAGCACATGAAACGGAGCACGGAGCGCGGAGCGAGAACGGAGCGATCCGGCTGAAGAAAGCATACACTCTGGCCCCCCAAGTTCTTTCGTGGCCTTCATGCTTTCATGTTGAGACCGTAGTTGGCCTATGTACACATGGGCCAATCATGGCCAAGCCCTCACCATCTCATGTGTTGCACACGAGAGAACAGCCGATTGCTCTGCCACCGTGCCATCCACTGGCCGGCGCGCTTCGTACGATTACTTTTTACAATTGGAGATCACAGGGGCGATATTCGGGCATTGCACGTGATGGTTCGCAATGTCCAATGCTTGTTGCTGTGCAGAGGAGTGAGAGTTCGACAGTGACAAGGGAATGTGGTTCGTGCATCCGAGGAGCGATCATCGCCTCCCCCGTCCACACAGCGACGCCCAGCCATCGTGCCTGGAGAGAGGCTGCTTCCCAAGCTTCCCAACAGAAGCATGACCCTGACATCTCCCATGAACAGACATTAGAATCATTAGAAGTCGAGCCACTGGAGGAGTGACGCCAGGTGCGAGCTGCTGCCAACTGTCCGCATCGGGCATGTACGCCCAAAGCTCATCCAAGTACCCATCAACCTCGCCATCCCAGCCGCCGAAGACCTCAGCGTCAGCGCACTTGCCCCTCACTCTTCCCTCCGTCCTTCCCGTTCCTTCCCGTTCCTTCCCATTCCTTTCCCCCCTCTGAGCGCGTGACAAGCATCTTTGCTAACTCGGCCGCCCAAACTGCGGTGTGGCCGTTGCGTGCTGTTGGCGGGTTCGCGGGAGACCGCTCTGTCCAGTTCTTGGAGTTCAGGTCCAGCACATAGAGGCCATTTGTCAGGGTCAATGTTGCATCACTCCCACCGAAGATGATCATGACATCATTCCCGGAGGCTGTGCCCGCAACTGCTGAGTGGTGGTAGAGTTGCGGGGGAGTTGTACCAGAGGTGAGAACCTCTGACCACTCGAACAACACCCCAGTGGTGGCCTTCAGCAACCACAGGTCGTTTGGCGCAAAGCCTGCCTGTCTGTCCACGAGTCCTCAGAACAGCACAGCAAGACTGTGCATGGCTTTGCATGAGAGAAGCAGAGCTGCATGCGACGCCAGGTCCTCCAAAAATGAGGAAGCCAGAATCCGGCTCTGACCAAACCATCGAGTGCCAACCCCTTGGGCCTTAGTGAAGAGACAGGGAGAGAAGTCATGGACTGACTTTACCCACTGACTCACCAGCCCTGCCTGGCCCGGCGACGGCGGGGGTGACATCCGACCAATGGTAGGGCGGGTCAAGCCGCCACACGGCCTCCACGTCCGTGGCACCTGCACACATGAGGAAAAGTAGGATGGAAATCTGCACTCCACCAGCAGGGCATGTGCAGAAGCTTGTGAGAGTGAGAGCCCATGTTGGGGGGGAGCCCATTTTTCGGGGAGCCCTTTTTCGGGGAGCCCCATGGCCCTAACGGCCTGGCCCCGTGCCGGCGCTGGAGCCGTACAGGATGCTCGGGAGGTAGGACACCTCCGCGCTGCGAGCAAAGGCGAAGCGATCCGTTGAGGTCGGCAGGAAAGTCGCATCCTCCAGGAGGTAGACCCAGCCATCCTTCTCGCGCACGCTTGAGGAACTCTCTACGAGAGCACTCTATGCTCAGCCAGAACAGCTCTCTCTCAGATCTCTCAGTATATGCCCAAAACAGAACCCACAGGGTTGCAAAAAAAAAGAGAGAGAACGGGGGGAGGAGGGGGGGGGAGCAAACTGCTGATGAGCTGCAGGACCCGGAGTGGGGGCCCCGGCAACGAAGCTCGAGAGGTGATACACCTTGCAGAGGATCTTCGGTTTGCCACCCGACAAGCTCGAAACCGTCAGGAGGCCCACTCTGGACCAAGCCTTCTTCTTCGCGTCCCAGAACCAGCATACCTTCTTGATCTTTGGCTTCAAGCTTCTGGCCAGCGCGATTGCTGTGTCACCTCTCTGCGCTTCTATGAGCTCGATGTCCTCAGCCGAGACTGGCAACGTGAACTCAATGGGCTCCGACAGGTTCCCGACGTCGATGGGGTCGCCGTTGGCGTCTCGGAAGGTCAAAATGACGACCTCCGATCCGGCATCGACAACGACGCCGGAATCACTGAGATTTGAGGAGTTGGCGCTGGCGGTGCTCGTTGTCAGCAGCACAGGACCTGTGCCCGCTGCGGCGGCAATCTGCTGCAGCACGGAACCTGGAACCGACACGCTGCCACCATCCTCCTCCACCTCAACATTCAGGGTGCCGTTCTCTTCTACGGCGCTCGGGTCGACCAGGGTCACACGCACGGGTTCTCCGCCAGAGGTGTTGACAAGGACCGTGGCGAGGATACCCGTCCCGTTGTTTCCGTTGGTTCCGTTGGAGGCGTTGCCGAGCAACTCTGGCAAGATCGACTGCACGGATGCAGCGAGCTCCTGCTCCGCCTCTTGAACTTGCGCATCGATCTCGTCGGCCGAGGTGGGGCTCCCGCTTGTCGTCGTTGTCGCCGTTGTCGCCGTTGTCGCCGTTGTCGCCGTTGATGTCGTTGATATCGCTGCCGTCGTTGTCGTCGTCGATGCCGCACCTGTTGTGGGAGGACGGGTTGTCTGCGAAGTTGCCTGCAGGCTCCGGGCAAGAAAGGACTCGACGGGATCACTCACGCCCTCAATGGCTCGCTTGCCCACTTGCTGCGCTCATGTCTTGACTCACTCGCTCACTTGTGCTCACCTACTTATCGATACATCTCGCTGAAAGGGCCACTGGCCCAGCTACTGACACATCCGTGTCATCGTTTGCACCCTCTGCATCTCCCTGGGCGCCGTAAGAGTGTAACATCTGCGAAAACATCGGCTCTAAAACCTTCATCTTTTTGCGCTGCGGAGACGCAGAGACCCAGAAACCGAGGGCCCCAGCCCCCCCAGCCCCCCACTCTCGGGCCTGGTTGTAGTAGTACCCGGTGCCGGTGCCCTTGGTGCCGGTGCGCGTGCGATGGGTCCAGCCCCACCGCCTCCTTTTGGGGACTCCGGCCTGGGACAGCAAAAGTCCACCGCGGCACCACAGGCCGCTTGGGGGCACCGCTTATAAGAGCTCTCTTCGGCAGAAGGAATGTTAACTCTAAGCCGGCGAAACCCGGCACCTGTCTCTCGCGCGGAGCAACCATCAATGCACACAAGTAAGCGAAAAGACCACTGTTGAGGAATCATGAAGAGACCAAGAGTAACAAGGGAGCGGAGGCACAGTATCACAAGGTGATTGACCTTGAACTCTTGCGACATGAGCACTGACAACGACAACCTCCACTCGGGTCGCCAAGCTCCGCGCACTAGCTGGGTCGCCTTGTTCCTTCTCGGAAGATAGCTCCTGCCACGCAGAACCTCTGCTACATGTGTCGCTGCTACATGGCGTGCATCAACTGTTGCACGGGTGTAAAGCTAGCATCTATAATTCGCCTCGGCTTCCTGCCGAGATGCGATTGCATCCGTCCCCCTAACCCATGCCAGATTTTTTGATGCACCCCCCCCCCCCCCGGGCCTGTGGGACCCCCCCGGAGCGGCAAATCCATGCCATCTGTCGGTACCCCACCCTTTCTGGGCTTTTTGGGATGACCCTCCCAGGGACGCCGCGTAAGAAACAGTATGGAGTTCCATCCAGAACCTTAATGGATGTCATTGCGAAATGAGGCCCCCCAACAAAGTTCGTGATAGGTAGCCCACGGGCCAGCCTTGTTTGGGGCACTCGCGATATTTACAGGCCCTCCCCCCTGAATTTGTTTGGGGGGCTCCCGGGAGCATTTCCCTGTAGACGGTCCCAGATTTGTTTGGGGGGGGGGGGGGGGCGGTCCCCCTACTAAAGCCAATGCTGCAACGTGTCTCCTGGGCAAGACATCAGCCGTGCAAGCCCTGTCCTGCCGACGGGAACGTGCCATTCCTGATTGTAAGAGCACTGCTTCGTCACCCGTGACGTTCTTGTCGAAGCACGTCACGTCCCTTGGTGGGCACACCGTCGTCTATCAAACTTGGACGGCATGGGTATGTGCAAATGCATAGCAGCAGAAGCCTCCCTTTCCATGACAACAGGCGACAAGAGGATGGGACAAGAGACCTCAGCCTCGTGCATATACGCTCACAATTCCATGGATTATTGTAGGTAAGCCGACGTGCTTAGCCGCAGCAGAACCATGCGAAGAGCCCAACAGACCTGTGCTGAAAAGCTGAGCTTCTTGAAGCTCTGCTGGAGGCGCCTTCGAACAGGTGGAAAGCTCTCACGATTCAGCTGTGAGCAGCATCTTGCTTCGGCACAACCCCTGCGACTATCGCAAACATCGCTGGGCCCAAGAGGCCGGAGCCTCGTCGACTCCGCCAGCGGGGTCGCATCTGGCATCTTGAGGCCTCCAACCTGCCAGACCGGCACAGAAAGCAGAAGGCAGAAGGCGAGTGCGGGATGGAAGAGGTCCCCCATCGCCCCCCCCCCGTCGTTCACGAAGAAGCAGAGGAAGGAGCAAGACAAGCGCTGTTGCGCCTTAAACCGGTGCACAAGCAGCTTCATGCCGCCGACGGCATAGCGCACTTGCCTACAAGCCATCAGCATGCGTCGCTCAGGATTACGGGGGAATGGCGCACACTTTTGCTGCGTGCAAAAAGCGGACCGCAGAGTCTAGCAGTCTAGCTCAGTTGCTGGAGAGTCTGCTTGGCCAACTCCGACTGGCAGCCTTCCATGTTCACCTGAAGAGAGCGAAGCTGAATCGCAGCCGCGCTCCAGCTGTTCTCCAGAGACCCCAAAACAAGCAAAAAACTGCTCAACAAAAAGCCAAATTTTCAAAGCCACGAAGGTGGAGAAGACCTCGCCGTCCACGACCACCGAGGCCAGCTCCCCGATCAGCCGCGTCCCATCGCGCCAGGCTGCCCTCTGTGTGAGAGAGAGAGAAGAGGGAGAGAGAGAGAAGAGGGAGAGAGAGAGAGAGGTAGAGAGAGGTAGAGAGAGAGAGAGAGAGAGAGAGAGAGAGAGAGAGACGGTGAGAGAAGTGCTCTCTCTGGCAAGTTGTCAACCTCAGAAGGCTCTCCCTCTCAGCCTCTCTTGCCCCTCTTTCATCCCTTCTAGGGGCCCCACTGCATGGGTGTGAAGACTATGTGAAACCGTGAAGCAGCTGCTGAAGCAAACCATCTTGGCAGGGGTTAGGGTTTCTTTCTTTCTCTTCCTTCTTCTCTTTCATGAGGTCGGGGCTATCCACCTGGGGCCCGCAGGTAGGCTCAGCGTGCCTCAAGACGGCGTGCCCACGGTCCCTCGCTACCAGGCCTTCGGTGTACTTGCGCTGGACCTGCAAAGGCGGGAAAGCGCCACGTGAAGGAGGGTACTTAGGGTTTAGGGGACCCCAAGGTGCCCTAGTCCGTTCAGGCACGAAGCTGACAACACAGGTGCTGCGGAATTAAGCCTTGTACCCTCACTTTAGTCCAGCACGGCGAATGCTGGGGGGGGGGGGGGGGGGGTTAACTGTTTTTGAGCCTGCATAGCCTTTGCCATGCTGCGATTGAAGCCCAAACTTGTGCCTCCTGCAAGCCTGCACCACACTGCCTCAGAGCGAGGCTCAAAAACTCTCATGGAACATGGAAACATATGTTGAACGTGCCAAGGCAGATGGGGAGATCCTGACCTGACCTGAACAGACATAGAAAGATGAGATGACGCGGAGCGATTTTCATCCGCTGTACAAATCTCATACAGTCAGGGCCGCTGGTAGCTTGCGATCGTCTCCAAGGAAGCTTTCATTGCACCCACCTGCATTTCCGCTGCCTGAGATGTGTCTTGAGACTCATGCGTCAACTCTCTAGCACCAAGATTGCATGTTGGCGTCTCGAGGACGAGGAAGGCTAGCCTAGGAGCGAATTCCAACCTTGAAGTCATGGGTGTCAGTACACAGACCTGAAAGGTGCTCCCTGCAAGCCGAGCGGCCTCCATGTATTCCTTGGTAGGCGCAAGAACTCTGCCTGTAACACAAATCGAAAAAGATCCCTCAGCGACCTCAGTGGCTCATGAGATGACCGTGGAGGAGGCTGCAGACTGCGCCCGCCCCCCTATAACCCCCTTCTACCCCCTCCCCCCCTGTATACCCCACAAACTCGCCTTTTTCAGGGGAAGCGTCGTCCAGCTTCCCCCGCAGCTCCCACCAAATCTTGTCCAGCTCGATGATGCCGGCGTGCTCTTCCTGGAGTGCAGGGTGTATGAGGGGGGTACGAAGGGGGGGGGGGGGGGAAGAGGGGGATAAAGGGGGTATTGGGAGCGCATAAGGGGGGCATAGGGGGGCCAACAGTACAGCAAGGGCGGAAGAGACAGGACCCGGCGCGACCAGAAAGGCCCTGTAAGGCAGGTGTCCTATTGAGATCCTTAGGATTGAGCTCCTTTCGCTCACAGTCGACCCACAAGGGAGCTGAGGGTTTCGTGTGTATAGGGCCGCAAAACATGCCCGGACCACGTCGAAGCGCAAAAGCATTTAGGGGTTAGGGGGTTTAGGGTTTAGGGTTTAGGGTTGAGGGTTGAGGGTTGGGGGTTTAGGGTTTAGGGTTTAGGGTTTAGGGTTTAAAGTTTAGGGTTCAGGGTTCAGGGTTCAGGGTTCAGGGTTCAGGGTTCAGGGTTTTTAGGGTTGAGGGTTTAGGGTTGAGGGTTGAGGGCTGAGGGTTTGAGGTTTAGGGTTTGGGGTTTAGGGTTTAGGGTTTAGGGTTTAGGGTTTAGGGTACAGGGTTTAGGGTTTAGGGTTTAGGGTTTAGGGTTTAGGGTTTAGGGTTTAGGGTTTAGGGTTTAGGGTTTAGGGTTTAGGGAAACTGTCTTTGTTTGCTGCTTCCTTTCCGCTCTTCGGACCAGGCATAATTGCCATTTGGTAGGTATATGCAAAAGCACAAAAGCACGTACCACCTGTACCCCTTATTCAAATTTAAAAAAAAAAAACACAACCCTGGAAGCAAGGCCCAGTGACCTGCAGTTCCATTTGCTTCCGCCAAGAACGCACAGCCACTTGGCTCCGGTTGCTGTGCTCCTGCACAAGCTTCACAGACGGGAGTTCTTAGGTTCAAGGGGGGGCCTAAATTGCAGAAACTTCAAGACGTCAGCTCCGTCCTTGTAGATGCCCAGGAGCAGTAGTTCTCGCCTCCGCCAAGCTTGGGACCGAAGTCCCCAAGGATTGATGACGACGCCGAGCATGCTGTGATTGTGACTTTGACTGTAACATCAGCCCAATGGGCCAACTACGATGATGGGCATGATGGTGACACTTGCTTTGCGAAGCCAGCAACCCATCGAAGAACTGTTCTTCTACACCCATTCTGACACCCTCAAGAATGTCTGTCATTGGTGAGCTTGTGATCCGGTAAACCGATAACAGCCCGCCTGGCACGGTCTTGGAGCGCCTCAGGCAAGGTCATAAGGTGCACACAGAGTCTCAGCCCAGCAATGGCTTGCAAACAGATGCACAAAAACACGAGAAGAAGAGCAAGTTGGGAAGGTTCAGCCCCCCCCCAACCCTATTTCCTGGGTTTGGCGCCTCTGCCTCCTGCTCGAGCTCCCTGCCGATCACCACAAGCCGGGAACCGCCGTTGCGCCCTCCGAGAGACAGGAAGATCAAAAGAAAGTATTAAACAAACGCATGCTCTTTAAAGGGGAAGGTGCGGATTGCGCAGGGGTCCCCCCCTCATTTTGTTTCTAGGCTGATTGCAGATGTCCGTTGGTTCCTGCGGTCATGTTTTGCGACGCTGCAGATGTTGATGCCTTTTCTATTTATAGGGCTCAGAATTTCTTCTCCCGTATGGTGACTTCTGGGTGAATCCCAGTGTGAGAATCTGGGGGGGGGGGGCCTTGATTGATTTCTGCGGGTGAGTTCGAGAGGTTGCAAAAACCAAAACACCCAAGAAAAACAGATGCAAACTCGGGGGGGGGGGGGCCCAGGAGAGCTGGAAGATGCCTGCGTTGCGGAGCGTGGCGTGGAGCGCCGACAGCTGGTCCAAGGCCAGTGCCGCATGGCTGGTGTTCACCGGGCCTTTCTCGATTTTTGCGAAGCTGGGACATTTCAAAGCACGAGCCTCCAAATTCCCTTTAAACCCCCCGAACCCCCTGAACCCCTTACATTACACTGAGGAGTCGCGAACGCAATCCATACCGCTGTAGTGACGAGAGCAAAAGTCTGCTACCCAGTACTCTGCTCGAAGGTGCCAGAGAGAACCGCAGAGCCGGCCACAAACTGCTCCAAGGCCTCGCGGGCCTCGCAAAGAGAGACCATCTGAAGAATATGAAGAATATATGAAGAAGATGAAGAAGATGAAGAAGATGAAGAATATGAAGAATATGAAGGTGGCTTTCGATCTTTTTGGCTTTCGCAAAGCCAAGGCGCGCTGTGCCGCGACAGAGCATTGAAGGATGCAGCCTGCCCAAGGGAGGCTCTCTTCTCCAAGGCCGAGAGCGGGGTCTTGTCTCAAAGCTATCAACGGCAAGCATTTCCTGCCTCGGCAAAGCCGGACAGCTCCCGCAACATCTGACCGCTGCTGGCCTGTAACGATCCCTCCGTGGGGTAAAAAGCATGAGAGACAAAGCTTCTGTGCAGCGACCCTTTGCTTGCCGAACAGCAGCCTCCTTCGATTCCCTGTCACACGATGCTCTTCACCACCCCACTCCTCAAAATAGACCTCTGAAGTGCGCTCTCAAGCTATGAAGTGCCCTCTCCAGTCTCCTTGACTTCGTTGAGGAAGCTGACGCCTGACTGGACCAAGGACGCCTCGCCAAGGGGTGCCCCCCCCCCCCCCCAACTCGAAGCATCCTGTTCCCTTCACAGGAACTGACATCGCAGCAGTTCTCGTCATCGTAAGTGTACCCCTCCCCTCCCTCAAACTCCCGAAACCTCCCAAACCTCCCAAACCTCCTGAACCTCCTGAACCCCCAAATCTCAAACCCGGCTCCCAAAACTAGGCCTGCAGTGGCTCCAGCTTCTGGTTCAACCGAGCTTCGGCAACATCCTCAGTGTTTCGGGCTGTAAATGTTGACAGGGCTTACGGGTTCTCTGCATGGGTTTCAGTTTGTAGGGTTTGCAGGGTCTTACGCAGGGTCTTACGCAGGGTCTACGCAGGGTTTACGTTGGGTTTGTCGGGTTGTTCAAGCTTGTACTAATTATGAAGTCTACGGGATAAGGCCTTTGCCTGGGCTATCAGAAGCTTCCAGGGCGCGAGGCCCTCCCATCGAACAGGTCTGCTTCTGAGAATCGATCTTCTCCGCCAGCCAGCCATGCTCCGCCTCAAGCGGAAGTCTGCAAAACGGCAATCCTATTCTTTCGCCGCCCCAAATTCGCCTCGGCCTCCTGTCCTCCCTTCTTTGCCGTTTCACAGAATCTTGCTCAAGTAACAGCCGGAACAGTTGGGAGCCCTTGGACCTTTTCTGTGGCAAAAGGGATCAGCACGCCACTGCGCAGTTGCGCAGCGCAGCTGTGCCCTTCGCTTCGAAGGCCGTGAGGCATTGGGGGCACTTCCTCTCCAGTTTCCCGGATGCTGTTACCTGCGGAATCCTTTTTCCGGGCAGCCTTGGCAGAAGCAGCCGGCCTTCAGCCCAATCCCAAAGCCAAACCGAACAAACGGAAACCCGAAAGTGCCCTCATCCCTCACATAGCAACCAAGCTGCAGGAATGCGTGTTGCAATTTTTCCGTGGACCCATCGAAAAGCCCTTAATAGAACCCCGTCTGCAGGCCTTCAGCGCCGCCTTATACGGCCCCGTCCCTGTGAGAACCCGGTGCGTTAATGGCGGCCTTGTTGGCCTCCACGCTCCACTCGGTCAGCTTCTTCATGTTCGTGCTGGTCACATCCTCTCATTGTCATAGGCTGCTCATGTACCAGTATCAGCCAATGCTGACTCGAAATCTCGTACAGGTGCGCCAAGTCACCGTGGCTGCCTTGAGGTTCCGGAGGATCGCCCGGTCGCCTGGGAAGCATTCTGCCTTCACCCCAGATTGAAATTCCGTGAGAAGTCCCAGCCCTTGCCTCGTACAACTGCGTCTCTGACGCAATGGATGTCGCAGAAGATGCGATCGAGGCTGGCCTTTTACAGTGTGTGTGTGTGTGTGTGTGTGTGTGTGTGTGTGTGTGCGTGTGCGTGTGCGTGTGCGTGTGCGTGTGCGTGTGCGTGTGCGTGTGCGTGTGCGTGTGCGTGTGCGTGTGCGTGTGCGTGTGCGTGTGCGTGTGAGTGTGCGTGTGCGTGTGCGTGTGCGTGTGCGTGTG